GGGTTCTGGCAAAACTGCTCTCACCCGTTGAGACCAGTACAGCGACAGCACAGCCTAAGAAATGATTGGTTGAAGAAATTGAGCTCCTGGCAGCTGTGCGACAAAGCACTGCATATGTGACTGTGTGTATACATATATATATATATATGTACAAACGCGCACTGAAATAAGACATCCAGGGTACCTTGACCTCGGCGTGCCAATTTGCCATTTTGCTCTTCTCCACTTTTCTTCGCTGGTTTTCTTCGCTCAAAAAACGCCGAATCAAGACACTGAGGAGCTGGATTAGGTGCTACGTGTAACCACGGCGACACAACCGAAATTGCTCGAGCATTCCGCTTGTGGCTGGTCTCGTAAATTCCTCAATCTGGGGCTTGCCGCACAAGTTCTGCTGGAGCAAACAACACCTATCTTGAATCCGGACGCAGCGCGAAAAAAGCCATGAATCAACAACTTTGCACCGATCTCAGTCATGTGCCTTATATGTTAGCCATCAGCCGAGCTTTCTGCAGCAGCGCCAAATCTGCAAACATGAAATATATTCACTTCTCAGACGGTTGATGCAGCTCGTTACGACGACGACGACGCACGCGGTCGCGATGCTTTTGCCAAGGAAAAATGCCTCCCGGGTTTAAGGTTTAGGGTTTAGGGCTCAGGAATTTTTTCCGAGGTTCAACATCCAAGACGAAAGATAGAAATTCCAGGCCAAACTCGAAAATTCAACGAAGAATCAAAAATTCCTGGATAAAAGTTAAAGCTCCGAAACCACCTTAAAACTGAGTGCGACAAATTAACCTTCCGAAAAAGTTAAACTTTCGAAAAATATTCAAAATTCCATTGCAAAAACTAAAATTCCGAAAACTAGTTTTAAAAATCCGTACGACAGAAAAAAACTTAAAAGTCCGAAAACAAATTGAAATTCCGGTGCAAAAGTTACGATTCCAAAACAGTGCAAAAAGTTAAAACTCCGTGCAAAAAGTTAACTCCTAAAAAAATAAAAAATTAGGTGCAAAAGTTAAGATTCCGGTACAAAAGTTAACCCTGCAGAAAAATGTTGCGTTCTGATTGTCTTGGTGGCCAATCCCCAGGCACCTTGCTTTTGAAGCTTTGGTCCGGGATAAGATTCCGGTTAAGGCCTTGCGTTGCGGCGTGTTGTAACACATACTCTTTATGCCATACGTATGCCTCATGCGCGCTTTATGAAGGTAGGATTTGTGTTAGATTTCTGTCGAGTTTACGCTTTGTTCTTGATCTACTTCGGCGGGATTTATGCCTCATGCTTGGCTCTCGAAGGTTGCCTTGTTTCGGCGGGTCTAATTTTCGCTGTGATGCATGCCTTATTAAGATCTATAATCATCGATTTTAGCAGCATATACACATATAAGTCTTCCGAGACCTATGGCTTAAATCCCCTGAGGAGTGAAGGCAGAAATGCGTCGAGAAAGAAAGCATACAATTCTACTAATAAGGTAGGATTTTCGCAGTAGTATAGCAGAAATGTCCGAGAAATAAACCCAAAATCTCGGAGAAGTAAGGAATAGATCTCGCGCAAACAAAGCTTATATTAGCTGGGGTCGCAGTATGGGCACCAACACCCGACAGCACCTTACCAGCAATTGTGCCTCGACACACTGCAAAAAATATGCACATCCGGATCGTGTCCCACAAAACCTACCCCACATACATCCTGATTCACACCTTCCTGCTGTCCGCCTGAGGAAGTGCATCATGAATCTTTTAGCACGGTGGCTTCTGCGGTCGCTGCTTCAATGACCCTTTGTACTACACTCCATGCAGCTTGATCAAGCCAACCGCACATAAGCGTTTTGGTTTTGCCGACGTCGAAATCCGCTATAAAGATTTCGGGAAGGGACACTTGGAGGTTCATGGGTAG